CATTGTTACTCATAGTAAGGCACTTGTTCCTAGTAGCGATGCACTTGTTACTAGTAGCATATATGTTTGGCATATTCTTTTTTCTCGCCTCCAAGACGTGAATGCTGCCGCTCTTGGTGCCTTAGTGCCGACGGTGTCGCCGACGGTGTCGCTCCGACATCTGCACTCGGGCACCGGACCGGCCAACAGGAAGAGCCCGGTGTCATCGAACTTCAAAGCCCTCACTTCGGTTTCGACCTCGGTTTCGACTCGAAGAGAAGAAAAACATGAACAAGAGAACACTTGTCCATTGTGATATCTTGTGATTTTTGATCGCCTTGAGCTTTTGCAAGACCATGCCATTGCCAACCTCGACAATGGTTCAACAGGTTTGACCAGGGCTGAGTTTTCTTGCACGTCTTGCGAGTCTCACGTTTGCGGCTCACATGTACGAGTCTCAAAACAGCGTTGGAGTTGGCCGCCACGAAGACCTGCGCGAAGTGAACTCGTAAAACTGTGTGCCAAACCAGGTCAGTCCATTGACTTGTTTCGATTTGTTTGGGACTTTCGATTATTTTCGGGTGGGCACTCCTGACATTCACTCAGCCATTCCAAATCTTTGGCAGTGGAATTTTCTTGGTCGGCTTGTCGAAAACTGGTCACTTGTTGTTCTTCTTGTTCAACTCTTGTTCCTTTTATTCAGTCTGACTGAGACTCTTTGTTTCCTTGCGTCGATGAAGAATCAAAGATATTGGGTCAGGGGCAAACTAAGAGGTTTGCCCCTGCCCTTACCTAGGAACTCATCGACTGCACACTCTGCGAAACCGTGATTCGCATAAGGGCGGCGGTATGTTAGGCTAACAGAATGCATGTACACAATGCTGGGGCCAAGTAGACCTTCACACGGGCACGGAGGTTGCAGCTCTGAAAAAGACTTGAGGTGATAAAACGCTCTGCTTCTGTTGCCAGTTGCCAAGCTAGGACTGCGCAAGATGTGGCACCAAAGAACAGGGCATCAACACAAGACAGAGCTTGCTGCCAGATGGCTCCCCAGATGCCCCACGGGGCGCGAACAAGCGGCAGGCCTTCCGCAACACTTTGAGCCCTCCTGTGCGCAGCAGCACACCGGGTGTCAAGCACTTGTCATCACAAAGGCGTGCAATTGAGTTGGCGCACCAGTCAACACATTTCCATCCAGCCAGTCTCGAAGAGTTCAACGCCTTTTCTTCTTTCCAGATTCGTGCCTTGATCCGTGGCGGTCACGTGACATTTCGCGATAGTCACCTCGACCTCTTCCGTGCAAGGCTGGTATAATAGTAGTGGATCAGCTTGTATTGGGCGCGGCTGCAATGCTCAGTTTTTGCATCCACGAGGAACACTGCGCAGGTCCCACCCAGCAACTTGAACAAGTGACTTGGCCAACGCCCTGGCCTTAGCTGTCAGGGAACTGTGACTGAACTGTAACCCTTTGCGGCCTGACAATTCCATCCTCACTTCGGCAGCTTTCCATCTCCATTGATCCTCCGGGTACTCGCCTTCGAACTGGACAGCCAACCGCAGTGTGCAAGAGCGTCTGTTCTCCTTCGGCGACTTGCCCTTGCCTTTGACATCGTCATTGGAACCGCCGTCCTTTCCTGTTTTGCTTCCCCCTTTTTTCATCCATCTTGGTCCTTTCCTTGGACCCTATATGGGCACCGCCGGTTGCGGTTTGATTCCGAAACCAAAACGATGATTCGGAAACCAAGCGCAACGACGAATCCAAGCTGTGATTCAGAACCCAACTGCCCTTGTTTTGCACGGTCACTACATCTCCCAAGAACGTGATTAGCCCAGCTCCATCCCCACACCCCACCCAACCTATTGTGATTCAGTACCCAGGTACCCTCTCCCAGGAACGTTATTGCCCCAGCCCCATGCCCCACCCCACCCAACCTTTGTTAGCCCAACCCCATCTCCCCACCCACCCAACGTATTGCGATTCAGTACCCAGGTGCCCTCTCCCACTCCCAGGAACGTTATTGCCCCAGCCCCACCCCCCACCCCACCCAACCTATTGCGATTCAGGACCCAGGTGCACTCTCCCAGGAACGTTGTTGCACCAGCCCCATCCCCCACCCCACCCAACCTATTGCGATTCAGTATCCAGGCGCCCTCTCCCAGGAACGTTATTAGCACAGCCCCCACATCCCCCCACCCCACCCAACCATGATTCAGTATGCAGGTGCCCTCTCCCAGGAACGTTATTGCCCCAGCCCCATCCCCCCACCCCGCCCAACCTGTTGTGATTCAGTACCCAAGTGCCCTCTCCCAGGAATATTAGCCCAGCCCCATCTCTTGTAATACCCAGGTGCTCTCTTCCACTATTGCCCAAACCCCATCCCCCCACCCAACCCAACCTATTGTGATTCAGGGCCCAGCCCCATCCCCCCACCCCACCCAACATATTGTGATTCAGTACACAGGTGCCCTCTCCCAGGAACGTTAATAGCCCAGCCCCATCCCCCCACCCCACCCAACCTATTGTTATTCAGTACCCAAGTGCACTCTCCCAGGAACGTGATTAGCCCAGCCCCATCTCCCCACCAACCCAACCTATTGCGATTCAGTATCCAGGTGCCCTCTCCCAGGAACGTTATTAGCACAGCCCCATCCCCCCACCCCACCCAACCTATTGTGATTCAGTACCCAGGTGCCCTCTCCCAGGAACGTTATTAGCGCAGCCCCATCCCCCCACCCCACCCAACCTATTGTGATTCAGTACCCAGGTGCCCTCTCCCAGGAACGTTATTAGCGCAGCCCCATCCCCCCCCCCCCCCCCACCCATTGTGATTCAGTACCCAGGTGCCCTCTCCCAGGAACGTTATTAGCACAGCCCCATCCCCCCACCCCACCCAACCTATTGCGCGGTTCCCGCCACACCGTTCCTCCCTGTACTGCACGCTGCACGCGCGTCCCAGGATGTCGTTGTCTCGGTTGCTAGTATTGTTTCCAATAGCAAACATTGTTACTACTAGTAAGGCACTTCTTACTAGAAGCGATGCACTTGTTACTAATAGCTTCTTGTTAACGTTCTCCCGGAAGGTTTGACTTTTGCTTCAAAGCCTTCGCCGCATTGCGCTCTGTCTCATACTTTAACATCCCGATGGCCTCCACTTCCGGCCGGCCTCTCTATCACCGCTTACGCCGTTGGGTCCGCCTCTTCGCTTCCTTTTCTCTCTTTCTCTCAACATCTCTCAACTCTTCCGATCTTCTACAAGTTTCCTTTACACTTTTGAGCCACAGGTCGTGGTGTATCTCACCTTCACAAAGATAGAGAAGTATCAAACAGAGATGGATAGGTAGATGTATAGCCTTACGGCGAAAGACGCACAGATAGAGACACTGAAGCAACAAGAAACAATTATAGCGAAACATAATAGAAAAGTGGATAGAAACAGTCGGATAGAGATGGAGAGAGGGAACGGTCGGGTTGGAACTATCTGACCGTCAAGCTGTTCCGTTCGCGAGATCTACGAGTGGCAGGGGAACCCGTTTCGCCGCCTGCGGATTGAACGGTAAAAATGTGGCCACCGGAACCGGCCTTGGGAGCAAACTGAAGCAAAGTGAGAAACATTGAAACAATTGTGCAAATGCAGGTTTTCTTTAAACAGCTGACATCGACTCAGGTTCCAGCGATGAATCCGTAAAGACCTTCAGCATCTCGCCGGAGTCCACACCCCAGAAACGGACCGACCTTGAAACGGGGAAGCAAAACACAAACACAAACACCCGCACCATACCTCCCTCTTTCAAGGCGTGTTTTTCCAAAGAGACGCGCTGACGCCAAAAGCGTGGTCTCTGGCTTGTCAATTGAAGTTGTCACAAGCTGGTCTTCCAGCAAGTTGAAGAAAATCGACGTGATGGCTCCTTAGTTGGTCAAAATCACGGCCAAAAGACCTTAAAAAAACCACAGGCAAACATGATCCTTCAATATCCTTCAATAAGACGAACTCTCTCTTTTCTAGGGCTGATACGAGAGTGTCCCACTAATCTGGAATGGACGGCGATGTTGGAATGATCCTTGGAACGATGTACGCACTGGAAAACCAAAAAAAAGAACAAAAGAAAACACATTGACTAATATAAGCTACTAGGAACAAGTGCATCGCTACTAGTAACAAGTGCCTTACCAGTAGTAACAAGAAGCTACCCCCCCCGCGCGCGCGCGTGCGCGAAACGGTCCTAGTAGATTCCTTTGGTAGTAATTACAAGTAATTCTAATAGCTTTTTTGTTGCTACTAGTAAGGCACTTGTTACTAGATGCAAGCAAAACACAATCTGTTTACACATTCTGTTTTCAACACTTGGCCACGCGCAGCCGGCGGGTCGAAGCCGTCCGACGGCCCAACGTCTGAGAGCATCGCCTCAGACGTCCGCTTTCGGCTTTACATAGAGAACCCGAAAGAAGCAAAAAAACCATCTTAACCCTTCTTTACAGAGTTGGACATTGCCTAAGAAGGAAGGCATTTATGCGCAAACGACTTGGCACATTCGGATGCTTTAATGCCGCTTTGTGGAAGCCATTTCCGGAAAAGGACAAGAACCGAAGGAAGAAATTGACCAAATTGAAAACTCTGAACATGTTCCGGCTGAAAACCAATGTCTCCTTTCACTTTCTTCCCTTTCACTTCATTCCTCCAATTCCTTCCCCTTTTCGCCTACCCATTGGACGAATGTGAGCGCTCACCGCGACCGCGTCTCTGTTCAGTTCGTCACTGTGACAGCAATACTGGTTAAGAAAGGAGGCACCGATGGTTCGTCGGACCAAATCCAGTCAAACGAAATGGTGCTATCCAGTACTAATCTGTATACGGTTGTACTATGTTGTACTATGTTGTACTTACTGTGCATACTGAAAGATCTGAATATGAACACCCTCATGCCCAAGCGACGATTTCCATCTCAGTTCGGTAGCAGCGGTAGATCACGATGGTGCCATCCTAAACATGAAGAACTCAAAAGGGACTTGCGAAGAAGAACGTTGGAAAAGGGTGAAGATGGTGTTAGTTTTGTTTGTTTTGAAACTGAACGCCACGTGGACGCAACACGGTTCCATACTCTGGTGCCACTTTAAAAATGTTTTTTCACTTCATTTGATTCTTTGTGTTTGCTATGTTCTTCTTCTACTTAGTTGCTGTGCTTTCGTGTTTTTTTTTCTCTTCGCTCTTGTCATCTCTGTCTCGCCTTCGAGGCAGTGGCCAAGAGGACGTAGGCCTAAAACGAAAAACAATGCCCTTCTTCACATTCTTCACCTCTTTGCTTTAGGAACAAGAAGCTACTAGGAACAAGTGCATCGCTACTAGTAACAAGTGCCTTACTTTTAGCAACAAAAAGCTATTAGAAACGAGAAGCTAGCCAGTAACAAGTGCATCGCTTCTAGTAACAAGGCACTTAGAAGCTAGTAACAAGAAGCTATTAGAAACAAGAAGCTACTAGTAACAAGTGCATCGCTACTAGTAACAAGTGCCTTACTGTTAGCAACAAAAAGCTATTAGAAACAAGAAGCTAGCCAGTAACAAGTGCATCGCTT